ATCTGCTGCTAATAGGAACCGTGCACACAAACCGTTTCACCCCAATCAAACACCAGCTGGAAGCAATCCCCTCAAACGTCGCTGATCTACCCTTCTTCCAATCAGAGCGCCTCACTTGCAAACACACGCTCCATTTCCAAACCTACTTAAGCCTTCTCCGTTTCACACTACATCCCTCAAGATTGTTAGCTTCTTCGCAACTTCTCGTCTCGCTGGGATAAGCCTTTGGGACCTCGACCTCTGCTTTAGAAAACCTTTGGTATCAAACCCGGAATTCGCCTTCGACTACGTCTCTGCCTAACGTTTTGGATTCGTCAGAAATCTCTCCTGACTCGGCTCCCCGACTCCGCACAGGGTTCTCCACTCGAACAACAACAACGCTGCCTGTGACAGGTTGGAGCAGGAGACGAGTAGTTTCTCTCACACCTGAAGAACGTTCCACAGCTGAAACACTTTCTTTCCTTCTCTTTTCAGCATAGAATAGACCTTGACTTGTTCTTTCATTATGCCATCTCGTGTTTTCTTCTCGCAATACAATACTAAAACTGAGCCTTAAGAATCTTTCTGGGACGTTTGCTTCAGACACTATGAAAGTTCAAGTCTAAGCGTTTTAAAATTGCACACATTATCTAACACTCTGCAGGTTAAGATGGGTTTTAACCAAGGTGTGGCCACTGTGAGCTGCAAACTAAAATGTTGTTCCATTTCAAACGTGCGGTTTGATGGTTTTCTGTACAAGCTGTCGTGCTGCTCACCAATGGTTGTTTAATGTCCTGGACCAGGCCCACACAAAGATGGAAGATGCTGTTCAGCTTTCTCACTAAATGAACCTTGTTAATGTGCTTTCATTCACCCATCCATTTTGTAGTGACATTTTAGATCAGGGTTGCACTTTCCAGAATGAATTTTGCCATGGACCTTGTCTATGCCACTCTCTAGAAATAAAATGTCCCAGTGACCTACCCACACTTAAGCTATGCTGTGTGTTTTTTGCTATACAGTCTTTCAGTATGGTTAGTAGATTATAATGATCAGCTGCTTATTAACTTTGTTCTTAGGCTTTAGTCCACAGGGGCATGTGAGCTGTTAAAAGAAGCTCACCATGTGTGACCAGAGCTACAGTTTGTCATTCTCATGTTCTCGGAACAGATAGTGGGTGAGGTATTTGTGTATATAGTGTGTAACCACACTTGAATGTCATGTCTCTTGTGATGTTACAACAGATGTTCAGTGTATGGGGCTGAACAGCATTCTCACCCTCCAGTTTCCATTTTGAATGATAGCACTTATACAGGAGCTATAATGTGTGCAGGCAGTGCTGCCCCACCAGCAAGGACTGGGGGGGGGGGGGTTTACTTGCACTTAAATCGTTCTGTAAGACAATGAACTGGATAACAAAACAGTCAGTGAAAGGTGCTGTATGGCTGAAAAGATGAAGATTTAAAGGCTAGCTGTCTCTTTCCCATGTTCAATCACACACCACTGTCCAACCCTACCCCTTCCTTACTGTTAGTTGAACAGGCCCCCCCAGCTTCTACTTGTCTGTATGCAGCAACCAACAAAGAACCCATGCAGACTGGTGAAAAACATAATGGGTCTCCAACAGCTGAGGTTTAACATGTCTAAATGTTCCTAAAAAAAAAACAGCCATAACGATTTGATACCAACAGCTACTATTTTCAACACTCTTTAACAAAAAAGTTTGAACACTTAAACAGAAACCAATCGCCCTCGCAAAAAGGCACAACAGGGAGGAGTTCAGAGATGTGTGGTGGAGTCGGATTACTTTACAGCCTTAAAATATAATCTTGTATTGAATATGTGATGTAATGGACTATTTATCTTTTTTTTTTTTTTTTTTTTTTTTTTAGGCAACCAATGTAGAGGCTTAAGTGTAGGAGTGATGTGCTGCCAAGGTCTAGTGTGAGTAAGAAGTCTAGCTGCAGAGTTTTGAACATATTGCAGCTTACTAAGAAGAGTGTTAGGGAGCCCATAGAGTAAAGAGTTGCACAAATCAAGCCATTAATTGTATCTTCAGTACCAGAGCCCATTTCAGCCTAGCTGCTGCAATAATTATTTCAGCTTTATGAATGAGCATGACCTAGATCTGAAGTTGCAGTGATGAACTCATGAGGAGCTGGCTGATATGAAGGTTACAATCCGTAGATGTAACACTTAATAGCACTGTTTTTTGTTATTTTTGTGAGAAAACCATACTGACAACTTATATGGTCTGTAATGTATTAACTGGAAGGAAGTGTTAAGCACGTGACCATCTGCAGAAGGAAACAGCCTAGATAAATGACATTAAAAAGCAATTACTTTCTTGAATGAAGTCATACCTGAAAGTAACAGGCAGCACTGCAAGAGACAGTGGAGAAAGCAGATGCATGGAGCAGGTAGAATTGTTCTTTATCGTTTTGGGAAAAAAATCATTCAAATATCCTGCTATTCTTGCAAAAATATTTTGCTGAGTGATTTTGACTTGCATGCTGCAATTTACACATGCAAAAATGTATTGCATTTGTCTGTTCATTAAGTAGTGTTTTAAAGGTACTAAAACATACTGTATCTACCCATCTTTTTCCCTACTGGTGCCTATCCCAGCAAGCAAATGGGCGCAAGGCAGAATTCATCGCGTACAGGATGCCAGTCCATCAGAGGGCAGACACAGACACAAACACCGACACACATACTTCGTCTATTTTTCAGTGGGATCAGTGGAAATTATAGGTGTGTGCTTCAAACTGTTAGAGCTAATGCACACAAATGGATGCACCCACAATTACAGACAGTATATGATACTCTACACATCATATACAGGACTTTACTGATAATCCAGTTTTAAATGATATTTTCTGTCTGTCTGTTTCTTAGCTTTTTAATGTTTAACTCAAATGAAGTCAAGGATTTTATTAAAAAGTCTGTTTTTAAAGTGGGGGGGGGGAATCTTGGAAATCTTTCTTTCAAGATATTAATGTTTCCCTGTAAAATGGTGTATTTGAAGCACATTAATGCTGATAGACATTAAATAGTAATAGGATGGGATACCTCATTTTCTTACTTTGAAAAGACAAAAAACAAAAGTCCAGCAATACTGAAATAAAAAGTGCTTCTTTCAAAGACAATATGTAAGTTTTAAATACAAAGACTTACAAGTTTAAAGTCTTGAAAGATTTATTGAATGGTGTGAGATAGTGTAGTATACAGTTTTGTAGAGACTTTGTATGCTACACAACCTTCATGCTGAAAAGGGATTTCAAATCCTTAATGATTTGGTTCCTCTTTCTCACCTCAGAGGTTTTGTTCTTGGTTTTTGTGCCAGCATACATGCTGGGTCAATGGTTTAACAGTCTCTCTAAAATCTGAAAATTTTAGCCCTAACATGCTGAGGTGCTGAATAATTAATACTAGGCTTCTTTCTGCTGTGTAATTTATAATAAAATGGCATTGTAACATACTATAGGCAAGGATGATATTCTTCTAAAAATAATAGCAGGAAATAAACATTTCCACCAGCTCTAATGGGTTACAAGGTTCAAATAGTAATACACTGAGGTTATTCAATCAGATAAGAAAACCAAACAAGAAACAAGGCCTGTGCTATGCAAGAAAACTATAATGATGAATGATTCCACCCCCTAATGTCAGGGTGTAACCAAGTGTTGCACAGCATATTTTTATTCTTCTCACAGCTTGGTCATAGAGAAACAACCAGGCCTAAACTTTAAACAGAAAAACACATTTATTATCAGTACATGATACAACTATCCAATGCAGAATGTTACACAATGTACAGCAGTAATACAATGAGGGGATATTTCAAGGTCAGTGACAAATCAGAACCCTGTCTTCCATAGACAAAGAAAATCCCCTTCTCCCCTTAAACTCCTTACAAGACAAAGAGGAAACCTGCTCCATATTAAATTAAAAATGGATAATAACCAGCACTAAATGAACCCCTCTAACCAGATGCTCACAAATGAATGGGCACCAGTCTTACTATTCCAAAATAGGAGACATTTTTAGCCTAAGGATTCCACATTATAGGAAATCAGAATTTCCTCCAATAAATAAACATTTTAACTCCTTTATACTGAGGCTCAATACTCTTTCAATGTTCAGATTACCTGGATTGAATCTCATTTGTAAGTCTGATGTAAAAGCAAAGTCTCTCACAGCACAATCTTATGGGGATGATGATTCTTCTTCCTGGCTGTTGTCAGCTACTTGCCCTTTCTGTCCTTAATGTCTTGCTGTAGTTATCTTTTTCCAGTGATCCGTCCTTATGGAGGCTGGCATAATGACATCACTAGGAATGGTTTGGTCACTGATGAGTATTGATGTGCTAATATAGAGGACTTGATCTAAAGTGTAATCTAAACAGTGACTTTGTTAAACCTGAGTTAGTTGTTGGGTATTCTCAGTTTACCCTTGAAGTTACAGGTGACCCTTTAATCTGCAGAGATTGTGTTTAGCTGTAGTTTAGACTGCAACCTTACTCTGCAGTCATTACTGACATAAACATTAAAGAGGTGTAATCGTTTAAAAGAAATGAAATAATTCCGCTTTATTTTGTCTTTCTCAAAGCAGACTCCTCCCACTCGTCGGACACACAAGCACAGCTTTTCTCAAGAAACTTTCGTAGCTCTGACACTGCGGTTTCCTTCTTCCACCTCCACCCTCACTTGAACCCTGCAGTGCATTGCATTCAAGGGGAAGGTGCCAACAAGCATCACGTTTGCTGCCTACTGCACACGTATTTTAAATGTTTCATTTGAGAGCCACCATAAAAATGCAGTCCAGTTTCTAACAAGAGACTCCAGTACTCGGTAGTCTCATATCTGCTGATGTATAGTTTATTTATGAGTTTATTAGCTAGCTGTTATTATTTTGTCTTTTTCTTTCAGCATAAAAGTTAATAAAAACAAAATAAATGACCAAATAACTCCCAATATTGGTTCTTTCCTGTGGTCCAATATAATGTATCTTTTATGTCAACCAAAACTACAGCCACAGCTAAAGACCAAATAACGTTATTTAGAATTGCTTCAGTGCAAATAAAACAACGTTGAAAACCTGACAAATCAAGGAGGGAGATCTACTTACTTACCCATTAGGAAGTGAGAAACGTGGCAACACCATATCTATAACATTTTTTATGTTCCTAATACTCCAATCTGAGCAACACCAAGACTTTGAATGCTTCTGTTGACATTGGTAAGCTGTTACTTTAAAAGATAATGTTTCAAAGTTACTGCTGCGCTCTTGTAATGCTTCAGCAGTTTGGTCAGATCATACAAAGTGCTATATAGGGAGGGAATGTATTGCTTAGCTACAGTCAGCAGTCAGACAGGACTTGACGGACCTGACCGTAACGATGAGGCGAATTAAATTCCTTCCCTCTTTCGCACGGAAAGAGTGGGGGAGTGGTGGAGAGCTTGTAGATGGAGTGGAAGGAGGGGGCAAGAGAGGGGTGCAGAGGAAAAGGCAGGTGGAGAGATACAGTATGTATGCATAGGAGAGCAGAAGTGGTATAGATTAGGATCTGACCCTCCTGAATCTCTGTTACAAACACCATTTGAATTTGTATTATGCATGTATTATTATGAGGTACCAGTCTGTACCTCTACCTGGAGACTGGCTTGACGTGGTCACAGAATTAAGCTTTGAGAATACAGCTTCAACCTATTTCCCCAATGAGTTGTTTTGGCTTTGCATTACAATGTGTGACATACAAGCATGTTTTTCACCTGACTTCAAACACCATGCAATGGTCTGAGGCCAAAATCTGACAGTTCTCGAGTTCCCCATCATAACAGGAAGAGCTCGCTTTGGGACGGGTCATAGCTGCCAGATGTTTTATTACTTGCCTAGATTGAGGGTTTTTATTCTGTAATTAGTATGCTGCAGCTCCTCTTGCACAACATATCTCTGCTAATTCCTCACAGAGCTGTGCCGTGGTTGAGAGTGAGTCACCGTACAACGTCCGCGGGTGTTTTCCCAGAAAGAAAACCCCTTGAAAGTGTTGTGTTGCATCTCAGTCCTCCCTTTTCCTCCTGTGCTTCACTCTTCATCAGGGCACTGAAAAGGTAGTAGGTGTTATACTTCGAAGAGGCGGAAATGAGTGGTTACATCGGCAAACGAAGAATGGGAACATGATGTAAAATAGAAAATCAGTGCATCTGAGCTCAGTGCTCCCAGCAAAGAATTCTAAGAGGGTATAATGCCGATGAGACACACTGAATAATTTATTGTTGTTTTTGGTCATTCTTTGGTAAAGATGCAAATTATCAGTTAAGTGGAGAAACATTAAATACTTCAATGTAATGAACTAAGCGACTTAAAAATATTTTAGAATTTTATATTGTTCAATTTCATTTACGTATGAGAAAAAACATTTATACAGAAGCAAGATAAACTGGGAACAGCCCCACTCAGTACTGTTGTATTAATGATTCTTTGAGCAAGTTCTGGAAGTAAACTGAATGTGTTCTCACTTCTCACTAATGTCTCATTTAATTATGGTTTCTGAAAAAAAAATTTTTGCACAGACGCAGAGGAAGCTGTTGATCAGTGCTGCGTGATCTGGAAGGAAGCTCTAACCACATGAGAATCTGTTTAAGAAATCAATGAACATGAATTACACAAATAAAGATCTGCTGTTTTAAGATTAGGCTTCAGTCTCAAAAGGATTCTGTGGACCAAGCTGGTGTGTAATGTCAGCATGGATTTGGTATGTTATTTTATATTTTTAAATTAGTTTCCTTCATATATGAAACATATGTTGTCACAACAGAGTGTAATTTTCTTTGTGATGATAAACTTGGAAAAGGTGTTTGTTTAGGGTTCAGATTGCTTATAACCTGCACACATATTTACCATATAGCTTTCCTCATTAGTCGTTAAGGGCATTTCTTGAAATCAATTTACCCTACAGATCTGAAAGAAAAAAGGTTTTTCCCCAAAAACCTAGGTAGTAGTATTTGGCATACCAGAGATTTCATAATACATTCATCTTTCTAATCATAATATTCATAATTAGCTACTGATTTTACCTGACTTCTATTTACATACAAACATTGATTGTCAACATTAAAGATGTCTAAGATTTTGCAAACTGTGAGCATGAACAGTCTTGATGAACCTGTTTTAGTTTTCTTTATTTATGTACTTTTGAGACCTAAGGCAGATACCAGTAGTTGTATACATTATATTTTCCATAGTCACAGATTTAAACACATACAAATTCTTACAGAAGCTTTTAATTTCTTCTTTCATGCATAGAAGGTATTCTGGAAATCTGTTTCTTGAGAAACAGTTGCATTTTGAGTCTTTTCTGGGTGAGCAGCAAGATTTCCATCAAAATATTGAAAACACGCTTCTATACTGTGTTATTAGTAGCTTGTTAATCAACCATGACAGTAAAGCTCTCTGTTTATTGGTTTATTTGTTTGTTTTTAATTTTGGAGAAAGCCAGACATTTATTAATCAAATTGAACAATAATAACGTATATGATAACATTAACATGAAAAGTATTTGAGGAGAGGAGTCCATAAGTTATTTAAAATGTCACTCAGAAAAAAAATAAAGCTCTTTAATTTTTTGCTTTTATTATTTAGGGAAAAGGCTTTGGTTTTAAAGATTTTGAACCTTAAATAGAAGAAAATGCTGTTGACTTTATAACTCATGGTGATCTATATTAATCATTCCCTGATATATTTTAGAGTGCATTGTTTTGTTTTTACACCGTCACAGGCAGATTATAAAAGATGCAAAAAATATTTTTAAATGAATTAAAAGCAACAAACTATCATTAAATCACTGACAGTATGCACTCAGAAATTCCCATTGACTGAATGCTCATTAAGCTCAGAAAAACGGTGACAACGCAATGATGGACTTTTAAGACTCCATAATTCTCTGCCTGCCGAAGATGAAGTTTATTAAACAGTGCAACATAAACTCTGTGTTTTAACATATACAGGTAAAGGTACTGTATATTCAACATGACTATCAATATCTTCAATATACATAAACACATACAATATTTCCTTTTATTTAGTCAGAGGTGTAAATCACCCTTGTTCTAAGAATATTCACTTGGTCACTCAGCAATCAGAGAATCTGCATTATACAGTACGAACTGCATGAAGACGGGATGGGTAAATATTTTCTTGCTGTTTTTAGAGCCAGTTCAGTCAGTACAGAAGTCAAGCTGCTTTTGTGGTGACTTTCTTCATCTTAAATGCAGGTAAAGTATCGTGGTTATTGAATGTACAAACATCACTCTACAACCTTCAACTATAATATTTCTAAGTCTTGTGAAAATGACAGAACTTGAACATGTTTTTCTTATCATTACATTTCTTGTTATATTGCCATCACTGTTAATCAAAACAGATTATTTTTAAAATGCTGTATATTGTTTTTCATACATATATCAATATATATTACAGTATGTGAATATATCATAAAATATATTATAAATATGTACATATCAGGCTTTTCTTGTGGATGGTATTAATCGCTGCTCGTACTTATTAGCATTGAAATATGCATTATTACATTTTAAAAACAAAAAGTCTCTTAACAACTTAGTTTCATTGAAACAATAGTCATTCTTTCACTGTATTGTCTCTTAAACAAAAAACCCTATTCCAGCTTTTTGGTTATTGATGTATTTTAACAATACTAATAAACATGAAAAAACATTATACTTGTATACGTAGGATCAGCACTTAAATGCTTTAATTGGAATTTACAGATTTGTGTATCTGAGCTACAGTATATCAACTTGTAGGTTTACATAGCGATAAAGATATTTAAGATAAAGATACATACTGGTACTTAAAAAACATGTATTGGACGTTGATATAACTCAGTATAACCCAAGTAAGGGTTTTAAGATCTCTAAATCTATGGAAAGGGCTCTGTCCTGGCCAGAATAATACACCAGTCAGCCTCCTACAGGTAGCTACTTTAGTTTCAGGACTCTGTGTAGACACGGACATTGCGCTACAGTACGTGAGAGAAATGAAGGCTGATGAAATTTAAAAAAGCCTTTTTTTTTTTTTGCTTTGTGATGTTTTCAGACCACCATTGCTCAGATAATCTGTGCCCCAGAAACAAAGATCCTTCAGTTCACACCCTTAAGCAGGGATGTTCTAGCACACATTGTGAAAAACAGCACAAAGACTTCAATTTCCATGTTAGTTTTTCTAATGATAAAAAAAGCAATGTGGTTTTTGCCTTTTGATAACATTATTGATAAATAATGTCAGGTCCTGTACCTCACAAGACACTGTCAGTGCATCATAACTTGAAGGACTGCGGGTGGTATGTCCAGTCTGTTATCCTGTAACCTTTGAGAAATGAGAAATTGCTTTTCTGTACTCATGTGATTGTGGTTATAGCTACTTGTGTATTTTCCTGCTTGTTTTCTTAAACCTGTTAACTTCTCGTACTCTAACACACTCTTTAGTCCTGGTCCTGGGGGGCTGGTAAGTCTGTCGGTTTTCCCAAGTCTTTTAGAGCAGAAGCACTCAGAAGTGCTGGGAAAATGCTAAGTTATTTCAGTAATGAAGTGATTTATGTCATTAAAGGCTCAGCTGGAATGAAAACTTGAAGAAGCAGCACTGCCCTACAAGGACTAAGATTGGAGACCCCTGCATTTATAAGCTTAAGTTTAATTTTGATTGATGAGGTGAATGTAAAGGATAGAAAAATATATTCATTTTTCAACTCATTCATTGGATTAAATTAATCTTTCTGGTCCACTGCTAATGTTTTTAGGTATTGTAGAGATTTATCGTCCCTCATACACTTTACACATTCTAAAATCAGGTCCGATTCCTACCCTACAGTATGTCATTTAATTGCTAAAGGTATTTTCATTGTTAAATTGTCTTTTCTATGACCAAAGAAACTGTGATTTGTCTTGTTTAAGACAAATCACCTCACTCCTCTGTATCTATATATACTGTATATGGATAATATTGAAAGTTGGGACAAACCAAGGTCATCTGGGTACTTTGTAGAACACTGCCCTCTAGTGGACAGATATTACACTGTGCATTAAAAGAAACCACTTATTTACTTCTAGAAAAATGAAGTGAATTGGTTTTGCTTATTGATTAGATTTTCCTTTGTCATTTTGACTAACTGATTATTTGTGACTGACCACTTGACTCATTTTGTTGCGCACTGTTGAATAAGCACTGAACCACCTCATTAGTAAGGGAGATATTCTGTCCCACTCATAAAGACAACAATACCTTTGTATTATTGGTATGTTGGAGGCTGGACTAAGCCACTGTACTGTTGCTCACTGTCTAGTTGTTTACAACATATGTGGGATGACAATGTGTGCCATTTAGGCCTCAGAGACCAGTAAACAGGGACATTCTTGTCTAGGATCTTCAAGAAGAATGGGACAGAATCACAGAAGACAGCATTTGCAAAGCATTACAGACTGTACAGATTGTACTGCTTCCAGCAGTGCTCACACAACCCTAGTCTGTCTTTCATAGTATATCCTCCTGTTGATCAATCCTATTGATAGCAAGGTGTTAATGAACTGCTTTTGCACATAGTTTTTAAACATTGATTATAAAGTGTATTGATCATAATCATACTAGGCCTTTAAAACTATAATTTACAGTATATTATTTCTCATTGTATTATGTGACCTGGTGAATGTAACTGTGTTGGTTATTATGGTCACTTTATCTTAATCCTTTCTTCTGCAGTCCTATGGACAGACTCATCCCAGGAGGTCACAGCAGTGAAAGGACAAACAATACAAATCGAGTGTTTCCACATCAATTCCACAGAAGGCATGGCTATAACTTTAAAAAGAAAAACTAAACTGTGCTACATGATGTATGGAAACCACAGCTGGTGGATAAACCGATGTAATGAACGTGTCATTCTCTTCTGGAATAATAAGACAAACACAGTATCTTTTACGATAAAAGATTCTCTGATTAATGATTCGGACACTTACACCTGTACACTGGAGAAAATTATACCACCACCTGCCACAGTGGCAACTCAGAAAAGCATAAATCTAAAAGTAATAGGTAAGTATATCACCCTATCATCTGATTGTTTAAACTGGCCTCTCTTATAAACACTGATTAACAAGAATAAAAGCAATGCAGCTTCTACAGTATGATTATATCCAAACAGGTTGAGATTAATAATAATAATAATTGCTTACACTTATATAGCGCTTTTCTGGACACTCCACTCAAAGCGCTTTACAGGTAATGGGGACTCCCCTCCACCACCACCAATGTGCAGCCCCCACCTGGATGATGTGACGGCAGCCATAGTGCGCCAGAACACTCACCACACATCAGCTATCATTGGGGAGGAGAGCAGAGTAATGTAGCCAATTCATAGAGGGGGATTATTAGGAGGCCACGATTGGTGAGGGCCAATTGGAAATTTGGCCAGGACACCGGGGTTACACCCTTACTCTTTTCGAGAAGCGTCCTGGGATTTTTAATGACCACAGAGAGTCAGGACCTCGGTTTTACGTCTCATCCGAAGGACGGCGCCTGTTTACAGTATAGTGTCCCCGTCACTATACTGGGGCATTAGGACCCACATGGACAGCAGGGTGAGCACCCCCTGCTGGCCCCACTAACACCTCTTCCAGCAGCAACCTTAGTTTTTTCCCAGGAGGTCTCGCATCCAGGTACTGACCAAGCTCACACCAGCTTAGCTTCAGTGGGTTGCCAGTTGTGAGTTGCAGGGTGATATGGCTGCTAACCGAGATTCTTACAATGTTGATGTTTCTTGTATTGTGTCTCCTTTACACCGCCTTATCTCTCCATTTCTGCAATGTGTGTTCAGTCCAGCCAAATATCTCACTGTCCAAAACCCAGCAGCACAGTGGAAACACCCTGCTGGTCTGCACTGCACAGGGGTTTTGCTCTGCGGAAATTGACCAGTTCTGGTTCAGAGAAGGACAGCCGATCACCAACACAACCTCACACAGAAATTTGACTAACAACACTGATGGCTCCTTCACCCTGACAAGCTACTTGTCTGTGTCTGGGCCAGAGAGTGGAGAAGTTTTATATAACTGCTGGGTTAACCACTCCTTTCTCAAAACTCCAGTCACTGTCAATATTACTCTCTTCAGCCATAAACCAGGTGAGATCCTACTTCTGTCATGTTGTTAAGCATCAAAATGCAATGGAATATATAAGATGTGTGTCTTGAATTTGCAGGACATGGTAATGAGTGATCTTATTTCACTTTTTTACTGGAAGTGAAATTTTTTTTATTATATAACACATTTATTTGTATTATACTACAAGTGTAACAAGAATACAAGTCATAGGAATCACGTCAAATTAGCCTGCAACAATTTACTGTGCACATCTTTTTTTGTAGAAAGTCCACAAGATATCACGTTGCCTCTGACTGTAACTGGACCAATTGTGTTTGTATTTCTGTCCATTATTGTTCTTATCTGCCTAAAACAGAGCACAAGCCTGAGTAAGTACACTTCTTCTTTATTTGGCACGGTTGTCCACTACTATGTTAGCAAAGTGATTGTTGTCTTAAGAAACAGGTGATTGTGGAAGAAATTACATTTGAGAGGAGTCATAGACTTAGCATTTTCAATCGGCAAAGGTCCAATAATGGAATGATCAAATAGAAACACAATAAGGTACTGTTGTAGAACACCAGATGAAATCTTATTTTGATCAATTTGTAATATCAATTACATAATGGAAATATTAAATTGCAGATTTTTTTTTAAATATATAATCTTATTAAGTAAATCCAAGTATAATATTTAATCACAGAACTATTGTTACCATGAGGATCAAGATAATCTGCATGTGAATATCTAGGTGTAATCAGTTCACAATTTATAACATTCCGATGTCTTTTCCAGAAAGAGCGTTACAGCCTTCCTCTGTGAATCCCAGTGAGGAAAGGGATATTCCTCTTCCTGAAACTCCTGAAGGAGTCGACGAGAGTCCTTTATACTCGAAGCTTGGAGAGCATTGCCCTGTCAACTGTCGAGAGTTTGAGTGACAGTACGTTCCAATCCCACTTGTGGGACATCAGAAACACTTTCAGTGAAGTTGTCTAATGCAGAAGAGCCGGGATAAATGCCCATCCAGCCAATATCCAGAGCCGAATCATCCTGTAGAGGGTTTGAGATCACAAGGCATGAAGAGGATTACACTGGACAGGATCTACTGTAGGTGCCATTTTCTTGGAAGGAGGATAGAAAATGGATCACCTGGAGAATCCCCCCCACACACAAAATTTGGGAGACTAGAATACCATACAGAAAGTGCCTTAGGCCTTCTGGATACAAGTCAGGAACTAAGGATCCTAGGGTTCTGAAGCAGCAGATAGAACTGCCATGCCAATTCACACCACCCTAAAAGACAATGTTTTCTGAATTTAATCTGCTGCAGTTACCTGCTGTATTGCTATTTTTCTATCTGTGATATTGCTCTTTGCCTTGCACTGTGCCCTCTTTGCACAGTGAATGAAATTACATTTCAATATACAGTAGCTGAAACCGTGAAAAATAAATTTACGACAAGATATCTTCACCTAACTTGCTCCACAGTCTGGAGATTCTGCGGTGCCACGTTGTTGAGTTTGTTGGAATTGGTGAAGAATTAAAATGGTTGCACATGCACTTGTAGCAGGGGTATAATGGTTGCACTGAGCCCTGTTATATACTACTGGGGCAGTTACCTGTCATTAATGAGGCCCTTTGGGCAGTTGAAGTTCACCTAATTATTGTTTATCCTCAATAGTACAATGTTGTTCTTTGATATGAGACAAAGTAATTGGCTGGTATCTGATAGAGCTTATACTCCCCAAGCAATGAAGAGTCAAGTGGAGAAATTAATGATTATTATTCTGCAATAAAACTTTGTCCATGAACTTCATTTCCTTCCCTGTTGCCCAGAGGTAATTAATATGTTTTAATGACCTTCCAGTTACTGTACTTGTTTTCTTTTCTTGTTCACATTTGGTTCCATCTATATTGACACCCATCACTGGACAGTGGACACCATTACAGACTTCGTTTTTTTAAATCAATCTACTTTATATCTCTATTATATCTAATTTATTTATATCTACTTGTAATATAATTGTCTGAGTCTGAAATAAAGGGATTCTCATCTTTGAACACAAATTGTTAAACAGTTTAAAAAAAATATTGTTTGTTGAATGTGACTTTCAAGGCAGGTCTAGCTGCTGGTAAAAAAATAACACATTCTAAGAATTATGAGTGGACGCCTTAAATCACTCTTGTCCCATTTTTCACAACAATGGAATTGACAATTGTGTTTTATATACTGTACCCACCCAGTTTGGAACTACTCTGTAACAACAATGATCCGACTCCCTCCCTCGTTTTTAACAAGGTTAAAACACAAAAACCTGGCAAGTTTGAAAAAGTTAGTAAAAAGGGACACTTTAGACCATCATCAATAATCAGTCCGAACAAATATCCACCACAGTCAGAGTTTTCTGCACAGCTTACAAATGGGCTAAACATAGTAAATATTTGTGTTTCTGAATACGAAATTCTCAGGAACTCAATGGGATTTATATGGAATGGAATTTGCGTTCCGATGTTACACTCTAACATTTAACAATTCATTTCCTCAGAAATGAGGAGGAAAGTGTTTGAAAAGATGGTACAATGTGGTCTTAAAAACAGGCAAATGTTAAATGAGGTTAGTAGTGTGCAAACAAAATCGCATGATCATGTTACTCACTCACCTGCTCATATCCTTTTTTAAACAGGTTTTTAAAACATGGCTTAGTGAAAAGACTGAAAAAGTTTATAATTGTACCATTAAAATAAAAGGATATATTTTGTCAGTATGGTCTATATACTGTATGTCATCTGTGTAGCCCCGCTCTGTGTTACTCATGGGCTGAGAGTGGACACACCTCTACTCCAATCCACTCCACTGCGCCAAAGGAACAGGTCGGCTGCCAAGGCAGAACTTTTTCTTCTGTCCCCCCTCTGCTCAACCCACTCATTAACTTAATCACAGTTAAGATTCCTCCATCTCCCCCTCATAACCCTCTCTCTCCTGCTCTAATTGTGTTATGGCATCCAGGAAATATAGGGTACAAGGTATACAGGATGTGGCAGGGAAATCTGTTTCACTGAGATCCAAATTTGCTGAGGATGACTAATCTTGATCTTGTGCTTGGCAGAGCGCAGTCAACCAGTGACATGACCCTGGCTCGCACCTGAGGCACCTGGATCAAAGACCTTAACCTGCGCTTGATCGAGCACCTTCACTAGCTGAGACAACTCAGAAGCTCAATTTCAGGATTTAGAGATGCTTTATGACATCTTCGTTATCTGGCGAATTCCACAAGGGCCAGTCCAGTCATCGACCAAATGGGCCTGTCGAGGAAATTGTTTTTCTCATGACGTGATTCTATAATATCCCAGATTTGCTGTGTTTCTGGAAGGTATAGCATCAGTTGTGATGTGACTTGGTTTAAAGTTGCTCAATATGCATACAGAGTTGTCTTTCGCATGCTTTCTGTTAAACGTTCTGTGTCTAATTAGCTGGAAACTTGATGTGATAAAATCTTTTTGGCCTGGATTTGGGCTGGTCTGTTGTTAACACTGTGCTTGACCTTTAGTCCATGTCCACAGTGGACTGCAAGATTGCAGTATTTGAACTGTCTCCCCCAAAACACCCCAAATAAATAGATCTCAGTCTGGAACTATGATGCCTTTATGGTCTTCAGTCTCTCACCGAGGCAGCAAATAAGACATTAACAAGTAAAGGCAAAACAGCCTTGGTCTAATTTATTGAAAATACACAGTTGTCATAAACAAAAATAGCCCATTGTGCATTGTATTAATCTCTGGTTAGAAAGGTTTGTATTTGGGGCACTACTGTGTTCAATCCAATATAAAAAGGTTTTCTTTATTGATAGAACAATTTAAACTCGACAATGTTTTTAGAGCCAAAAAATTGTCTCAGCCTCTGAAGTGTTGAAATTGGACAAACTGGAATTAGCATGCCAACTATATAGTAAAACTGGAAATTGCTATCTATAACTTGCAACAAATGAATGGCACTGGAGTACAGCTGCGCTTTAGATTTTCGGACCTGCACAGGAAATGGAAGCAAACTGGGCAAAGCAAAGAAGATCATTCCACAGAGATTTGTGACCTTCCCTGGACATTTCTGTGATCAGATCCGCCAATTCGCCAGCTCCCTAACTGGGACTCAACAAACCTACTGTATATCAGGTCCTACTCCAGCCCTGCGACTTGTACTCTAGCAGACTGCTTGGAGCAGGTAAGTGTGTAGTCTGTGCTCTAAAACGACATTAGTTCAACTGAGAAGTCAGCTGCACAACAGGTCATTCGAGAACAGATTTAAACAAGATATTTGTTAATTTTCTGTCACTTCATTTTCTTTCACTTGACCAATTAATGTTTCTATTTCTGTTAGCATAGTGTGTAATATGCATGTAAAATATTATTTTTTTAATTACACACTAGAAATATGGTTAGAAAATATTTAATTGACCATTTTAAAACACCATCTGGAAATGGTGGAGATTTATCAAAGATTCATCCCATTAACTTTCATCCAAGGCACCAGGTAGTTTACCTTTAGGAAACAGATGCGCAACAATTCACTTACGCGATAGAAAACAGTCCATAATGTTCATACATTTCCTGTTCTGTTTTAAAATTCTATCTGTTTTTGCAGCTTCTAAGTGTGACCCAGGTTATTCTGGCAGATGAGGAGAAAATGACTTCCCCTCCCAATGTTACAGTGCTGCTTCTAACAGCGTATGAGAAAATGGGCAGCATGAAATACTTGTATTTTGTCTTCATCTTTGTAGCTTTCTTGGTAACTATTTTTCTTAATGGTTTCCTCATTCTTATTGTTTATCTAAAAGAGAACCTTCACAAGCCCATGTATATGTTTTTGAGCAACCTGTTTGTAAATGGCTTGTACTGGAGTGTTGCTCTGTATCCTCAAATTCTGAGTAACTTGCTGTCAGATGTGCATAAGATCACCCGCTTCTGGTGCCATTTTCAGGTATTTTGTCTTTATACTTATGCTGGTTACGAATGTACCATACTGACAGTAATGGCGTATGACAGATTTGTGTCCATCTGTATGCCACTGCAATACCACAGAATCATGACGCCTGGGACTGTATCTAAGCTTGTTGCTTTTGCCTGGCTGTTTCCTGTCTTGATTTTTGGTGTACTTGTAGGATTAAGTTCCAGGGTTCCATTGTGTGCCAATACTACTGACAAAATGTTTTGTGGAAATTGGGCTATTGACACAAAACTGGAAAGCTATTTTGGGATCCTTGCAACAGTTTTATTTCCCTGTGTGTCCATGCTTCTCGTTCTGATTTCCTATCAGAGAATACTGAGAGCCTGCTTGAAGGCTTCAAAGGAAGCAAGAGGCAAAGCTCTGACTACGTGCCTGCCTCACATCATAACGTTCCTGAAGTTCTGCATAAACGTCCTCTTCGAGGTCATCAGCCGCCGTCTGGACAACAGCAGTGTGCCGTTAGCGGTGCGGACCTTCCTGTCTCTGCAGTTGTTCATTGTCCCCCCTCTGCTCAACCCACTCATTAACAGACTCCGACTGCAGGAAATGAGGAGCACCGTGGAGAAGGTTATTTTCAGACACAAGAGTGCAGTACAGCATAATTAATAGTTAAGCTATAGTCGTGCTCAGATTTGTATTTTTTTCATACTTGTGTAAAAAAATGTATCAGTTAAAAATCATACATCTAAACAGATCTGTTTCCTTATTTAAAATAAGAGACTCAAAAGAAATAACACAAGCATTGTGTCAGACTATAACAGATCTGAGAAGACTTTTTGATTTCCAGCATTTTGAAAAGTGTTGCCTGTGTCAGACAAAAACTGGTTTAATAACATTATCAAAACAGCAGCATAATTATGATGTCATTATAATGTTCTTTCACCTGCTTTCAAAATCCTATTGGAAGTCAATTTTCTATAATCATATTTATGTAAAATGTTTTTTTTTGTTTTCTTGCCATACAACACTAGAGTTTTTATATTGTTATATATAAAATATTAAAAACAATTGATTTCTAATATGCTACCTTAGTATGCACCTTACTAGAAAGTTAAATGAAAATTTCAGCTAGTTTTAGCTTTTCTAGTTCAGTCTACTTATCCTGGTTTGTGATGCTGATTGAAATAAAGACTTGTAAATATGAAATTTATAGTAAACAATCAAGAGCATACATTTCATGTTTAATCTTATACATTAAATAGAGATAATGCTGTTTTTCCCTAAGAATATGTTTTGAGCCAAAAATGCAAGATACTAAAGCACTCTCTGCATTATGAATGAACAATGTCTTTTCCACCTACTGACTTTTGGTTCCTTGCAATATGAAATAATGACTTTGTGTTACATGGTCACTGAGTCCTAACATATGAGTTTTCCTCATAAAGAACTTCTCCCAGATGGAATTCTCTTTTGCATTTTTCTTGCTTTCATGCCAAGGTATTGGTATGACTTCAGCCTCCTGAGTGCTTCTTTTACTGAGGAGGCTTTTAATTGAGCACTTTGGGCTCCAAACAGACTGTATGGTCCTAATCCCAGAGACAAATTATTTCCTGTGGTGTCTAACAGTGTGCTGCTTCCGAATCAGCCTGAAAGACTAAAGACCTCTTGTTGGGGTCCAGGACGTTCAGATAAATCACACTTCAAAGACGGGTTGAGGAGCAGTGCCTTTGCAACATTAAGTATTCAAACAGCTCAAGGCGACATAAACTTTGAGGTTCACTTTCTGGTGCTGTACCTGAGTCATATGTGAAGCTATCATCAGGTCTTTCTTTAAGTATTAAGCCGTACAGAGGGGTATTGAACACAGTGTGTGATCAGGAGGTGTGGATGGGCTATTCAGAAGCTTTTAAAGCTTTATTTGCTCTTTCACAGCAATCTTGGGCTGTGAGGGACCTTTTTTATGTGTGGAGATTCCTGTCTCCAACTCCAAGCCCTCTTAGATAAAACCATCATATGTGCTGGCTGTTGAACAGTAGACTCCATGAAAAATAGTAATAGTATTCAGAGTTTAATCCACTTCTCCAATATTAACAATGCAGACACTGCTTCCAACAAGATTTTACGACCAATTGTCACAAAGTTGCATTGATTGGAGATTGTGTTTTATCATCTCCTAATTCAAGAAAATGACTACCTAGGAAGGTCTACAGTGAAGAGGGGGTTATTAGCAAATAGCCGTGTGGGAAGAATGAATGGATATAGTAGGAATACCTAAATATTTATAAGAGTTTTGACGTTCTAACAATCTCACAATTAGGGCCTTGCTGCACTTATATTTCTAAAATCTCAGTCGTCTCTAGAAAGACACCTTATCCAGCGACAGATACACTATAATGCCAACACGGTCTGTCATTCAAGGTGACTCAATTCGTGTTTCCTTCCGGACGAGATTTAGGAGAGAATCCTCGGATGCTTGGATTTGTTACGTTTACCTATATTTGAGCTTTTAAAGTAATACATAATTAACGACATAATTTAATATATATCCCTCTTTGTACATTTTTATAATCCTTTACATTGAACTTTAACAAGATAGACCCGTGAGACATAACTAACTTTCTCAAGCGGAACTAAAGAATTGAAGTGTGTTCACGTCGGAAAGATTTAGTGTCGTGCACGTAGTAGCAGCAGGGCAAGCTGCTGGAAAGTCAGGTAATAATTCAAAAAGACATTTTAAAAAAAGAGATCGAAGGTAGGTTTTTGAATTTCATAGTATACCAAGCCTCGTGTAACATGGGTATTCCTGACTTAAATGGTAGATTTTAAAATCCATAGGTTCAGAAACGTTTGGAGTTTATAAAACAGGCTTGCAGGGAAACTAGCATAGTCGTTAATAGTGGGGTTGGGAACTTGACTTTTATAGGGATATTACGCATCTCTAATTTGAGGTGGTTTCTACTAATTGTAGTAGACGTGTCTTGTATAATCCTCATTTATTCATGAGTAATAAATACATATACTTAAATCGGATGTTTTGTATCATCTGACTCGTGACCCAAGACATAAAACGCTGTAAAGCACTTCCAGATTAATAGTTGTTCCAGCTTCTACTAAAAATACATAACATTTATTCTTAGTATCTCTCCCACCACGTTTTGTTTCAGCTTTTGTCCTGTTTATTCGGCTCCATTATGTGTCGTTGTGTAAGTTTTAATTTTAAAAACTTTTTGTAGGATTTTTTCCCCCCAGGATTGACAGCTATGTTGTCTCATGGATTTAAAAGCAGTAAGCAGGACTTTACATTTGGTCCTTGGAAGGTTATGGCAGAAAAAACCCACATCATGAAATCTAAAGACATTGAACGGTAAAAACGGGCCTTTTATATGTTGTTATCGATTTCTGTGCATTACAGTAATGTTTGTTTTACTTGTTTTGTTGGATCCTTCTAGTAATATATAGCAGTTAATATACAGTATTTTAGTGCTTAAACATGAAAAGAGTGATGAAAAACCAAAAAGCATGAAAAACAACTGCATAATTGTAGGGAATGATATTGTTGGTGTGATGTTAGATGTGCCTACTGTATTGCGTGAAAAAAAGTTTGAGACATTTTGTATTGTTCAGCTCTTTTCAAAGTTTGACTTCTTTAGATAAAAACAGTGGCAGTTTTCTGTTGAACTTTTAGCCACTTTAATATAACAGATACTGATAAATATGTATATTGTCAAACGGAAAGTAGCCTGTTACCTTTCTTGTCTTGTCTCAATTAATCGCTTAGTTAGCAGATCTAAGAATCTAGGGTGCCTAGTAGCTGTTGTTAGAATCAGCAGTGAAACAGGATCCATAGGGTACAAATGGAAACTGAGGGAAAATGCATTTAAAACTGAAAACAGAAAGTTCTTCTTTATCCAAGGGGCTGTGGAAGCATCTAGACATATCATTGAAACTCATACCATAAGTAAATAAGTAGCTGATTCAGCAACCTAACAACCTAAAAGGCCTTAGTGTCATCTGTAACTTCTCTTATGTGCTTATTTGTTTTGGAAAGAGTAGCAAAACCTTTCTTCTTCTGACTAGCAGAAGGCTGTTCAAATGCATACAGTAATTCAAAGGAGGACTAATTTGCGCTCCAATATATTAACAGTTTGGCCGACGAGATGCATATGCCTTCGCTTCCTGAAATGCTCTTTGGGGACAATGTGCTACAGCTACAGCACTCTGACGGCTTTGGGATCAAGTTCAATGCGATAGATGCCCTGAAGCGCGTCAATAACATGCAGGACTCTGTCAAAGTGGCCTGTGCACAGGAGTGGCAGGAAAGCCGGTGAGAGCAAAGTTGTTCGTAACCTGTCAACTTCAGCACCAAAGAGCCAGATTCTTCAGTGGTGCTAAACTACTCCCTTCTTATAATAATCAATTTTCCTTCTTGTCTAACTAGAAGTGCACAGCTCTGCTAGATTTCTCTTTATTGACCTTAGAAATGGGGACCATTATTTGAACTACGTTTGTTGATACAGGCATTGTGTAAAACCTTTAAAAAACGTAATCATTTATGTAAACATATGGGCTTGTCCTTTGATGTTTTGGAATATTTTCAGAGGAGATAATATCATTTAATGTTGTGTGTGTAGATGTGGTTTGTGCCTTGCCATGATTATTTGGTTGTGTGATTCATTCATGTGCATTCTTGGTTCATAATGTTCTCTATATGGCAGCAAAACCTAGCTTATGATGTGGATCACAGTGGAATTAAACACCAATGCTGACCCTGAAACCTGGTCTCGGTCAGTAATATGCATATTTCCTTTTTTGTGGACATTTGTAGAGCTGACTCGGAGCACTCCAAAGAGATCGTGAAACGATACGACTGGACATACACAACAGATTACAAAGGCACTTTGCTGGGGGATGAGAGGAAGTTAAGGGTAAGATTTGAGTCTTTTTGACTTTCGGCACGAATATTAATGTTTGATATACCAGCCTTCTGCTGCATTTCCAATTCTTTTTAAAAAGAGAAGTAATAATCCCTGTCAGAGCTGTTGACAGCTGTTCTTTTTATAGTAGAATGATGAACGTGATTTTTCTTGTTTGATCTTGCTTGAAAAGAAGACAGTTGAATGGAAATGTTTTTATTCCAGTCTTTGCAAGATGCCTGTAAACCCTTTTTTATGCCAATGTTTAGGTAGTCCCCACAACAGACCGTATTGACATGGAAAAACTTAAAGCCCGAGAGCAGATCATGTTCTTTGAGGAGGTTTTGCTGTTTGAAGATGAACTGCATGATCATGGGGTTTCTATGATCAGTGTAAAAATCGTGAGTAATATATTTCTCTTACATGGACATGCAAGAAGGTCATTTAAAATTTGAATTTTGGAGTTTGACTGTGTGTTAAATGAAGTCAACAGCAAAGTTTTGGAAAACTGATTGATTGAGGTTTGCATGACGGACTTCAAAAATCCTTACTAAAATGCTTTCTTGTTCTGAAGAGAGTGATGCCATCTAGCTTCTTCGTGCTCTTGAGGTTCTTCCTGCGGGTTGATGGAGTGCTGATTCGAATGAATGACACTCGTCTCTATCATGAGGCAAGTAGATTGCTTGAGATGATTACTGCTGCAGCCTTTTCCCCCCTCTAGTGCTGAAATGGGAACTCTTAAATAATGGAACTACAAAAGGTGGTCATTGTAAAAAGTCAATATTGTGTTGAAATTAATTGAATTTTTCATTGAACTTCTGTGTAGTTGTAATGCAATTCTTTTATTTAAGACGTTAATGGATATTAGATATATTTAATTTCATGCACCAGTAGTAGGTTGCATTCAATTGCAAAATAAAAAAAAAAGCTTTTTGATTGCAAAAGAGAGTGGAAGATTTTGTTTAAAAATACTTATTGTGGATCTTATCTGCATTCTTTGTTGATGTGTTTTTGTTTTCTGCTGCTTGCAGGCCGACAAGAATTACATGTTAAGGGAGTTCAGTACCAGGGAAAGCAAAATTTCAGACTTGCAGGTATGTTTGTGACTATTATTATCAAACCCGAAAGTGGGGGTATTTAATGAGTTTTGGGCAGAAAACACGTTGCTTGACAAATATTTGTAAAATGATCACAATAGCCATAGCTAATGGAAACATGTTTGAAAGGTGTTTACGCTTTCAGAACCTTTGTGTAACAATAAAACAATTCATCTGTATTTGTGATGGCGGCACTATGCTAATAACAAGGGCATACTTAATTCAACCAGGCATATTATTTTGTTGAAGTAGTTCAAGTAGGTAGCTGTGTCAGCGTGTGTAGGCTCCAAAGGAACAAGTAAAGTTTTATTCCATGCTGAAAATATAAGAAAAGAAACGCACCGTTTTGGCCGTGGAGCCTTCTTCAGAACCCTTTTTCTACGCGAAGAAGGCTCCACAGCTGAAACGTTGTTTCTTTTCTTCTCTTTTCAGCATGGAATAAAACTTTACTTGTTCCATATTATTTTGTGGACGAGGGCTGTTTTGGACTGGTTTTAGGCCGCTTGTATTCTTTTGCTGACAAGGCAGGTGGCGATGTCTGTTCATGTGTGCACGGCCGTTTATATATTACGCTTGTTAATAAACGCTTATTTTTCTAGCATGTTCCCCCTGCTTTCTACACGGACCCCAATGAGATCTCCCAGTACCTGCCTCTGAAGCTGCTGGAGTGTGAGAAACTGGCATTCCCAGAAACGGGCCCGCAGGCAGAATCGCCGGACAAGCTCACAGAGACCGAGCCAGAGCGAACGTGAATCCTAACAGATGGGAGGAAGGAGAAAGGAGTAGCTCCTGCTTTCTGGATTTCTGCTTCTCACACAAGACTCTTCGTTTCTGGGGAAATCCAGGATGGGGTTACCCCTGCCGGTCTTTTCTCTAATGGCCGTTGTCCACAGTCATGGGTGGAGAATGAAACATTCGTCTTCACTTCAGATTTAAACAAGATTCTCTGCATAAACCGGTGTGTTCACAACATAGGTAGCTTTTAAGGCTTATGATGAACAATAGAAACATCTGTGACTTGTACTCATAAAGGCCTTTTTTCTAAAAAGTGAATGTGGACTTGCACTTGTTCTGACTTTAGATATTCGATATCTAAAGTAGATATACTTTAGATTAGATATACACAGTCATGTTTTATGGACTATATGAACATGCATAACATGTTTCTGTTGCAGATGATCTTGTTGGGCTAAAAAGGATATTTTACCATGCTGAAAAGTAATATTTCAGATGTTCCAGTAATATTTGAGATGTTCACTGAAAGAAGGCTCCATAGCCAAAATGTGTTTCTTCTTTCTGCTTTTCAGCGTGGAATTAACCTTTGCTCACTCTTGTTTTCATTGTTCATCATTTTTACCCATGGATATTTAAAGAGACTTTTGTAAAATGTATATGTCTTACCTACACTAAAAGCCAATGATGAGGAGAAATTAAATATTTACCCATCAAATGGAATGTGAGAATTTAGGTTAGCTGTAATATTAGTGTACATGTTTTAAACCCCCTTGACAATGGGTGTGTTGTGTAAATGTCTAATCTTTACCGTTTGATGTAATCTTAATAAACATATAATGGTGCTATTTTCCATATCCCAGTGCAGTGAATACTGCAGTATCATTGGTGTACTGACTTGGACCTGAAAAAACATTCTAATATAATAATTCATTTTAATTCCATCCCCAGAGGTTAATGGCAGATATTGTGTGTTTATGTGTGTTGTGGAAATTAGAAATCCTCATGCAACACTCATACTACATATCCCAAACCTCCCTGAAAGCTGGGTGAGAAGGCAGTTAAGGGGCTAATGCACATACAGTATAAAGAGTTTTGCTGATATTCCTGTTAATGCAGGACTGAGTATTTCTGTGAAGGGTTCGCTCTGCCAAGGTCTTGATCTATTTGTTTGAAAACTAGTCCAAGAGGCAGATTGCAACATAAATATGCCTCAGGTACTATGTCACATTTTAACATTTTATTTCAGTTACCTTAGTTATAAAAAGAGGCAAAGTATGCTTTGCTTCTCTACAAATCTTTGTATTCAGAGCAAGGAATACACATTCAACGTTTACTTCACTCATGTTAAATATACAGCAGGGATAAAACATTTGCAGAGTTTCTGAAAATATTCTCCAAATAAGTTTGTTGTTTTTCTTCCAAATGTTTTTGATGTGCAGACTTAAATTTGTGTTTGAAATAGTAACTCTTACAGTATCTCAACAAAGTGTTTTTGGATCACTGTAAAATGGTTGAATTATGTCCAGAGTTGTAATGTCTATTTGTTCATTTTCTTTTATGTCCACTGGATGAAAAGTCCGAAATCTTAGTGAGTCTGGTACACATCTTGCCGATCCTTTGGTTTTGCTTTGCAACGACAACATTGACTTGGTTTGCTGAAAGAAGAAACTTTTAACCTATGCCTTAACAAATGTGGTGAATACTGTTTCAGAAAATTCCCTGTAAATTCTAAATACATATCTGCAAATGAAAATAACGTGACTTTTAATTCATTTAATTACAGTTTAAATGCTTTCTTAAGTGGGAATAATACCTGTATTTTAAAAGGGTGGTAGCATAGCTCCCCTTGTATACCCTGGCGTGTCTACCCCAGGAACGTCACTAAATTTCTGGGAGGCCTGACGTGTGTCTGGATTTTATTCTAATCTGTTTTGTCAAATAAGCAAAAGTTGACTCAAAACATTCCCTACGTTAAAATTACAGTGACCTTTCAAACACTCTGGAGCCTGGTTAGACATATTACAGTTATGCAGTTAATTAGATCAACTATGCAACTGGAAGCTCAGGTGTTACAAAACCCAGAAAACACTAGGGCTTACTGAAACTAGGATAGACATTTGAGATCTAAAAGTTCCATACAAAATGTCATTTATGTGTCTAGGCTTCCCCTGTTTCTTGAGTAATATTAGGCACTTTCCTCATTAGTTATTTATTACTTACTCACTTTAAAAGGAGTTTTTTTAAATCACAATTTAAAAATTGTTTCCCACTGCTGCTTTGTGTTCAGTGTTGTTTATCTATGTCTATTAGTCAGTTATGCATTACATTAGGTGTTTTAAATTGTGGTCTTAGGTACATAAGAAAGAAGATTTGTAGGTAAGGAGATGCTGTTTGGCTCATCTTACTAAAACTAAACTCCTTAATTTTGTTTGCATGGAGTTTCAGTCCATTCCTAGCTATTTTCATTGTCACTTGAATAAAAAATTTAATTTATTCCTTGATTGACATGATTGTCTTCAGTGCACTTTGAATGTATTGTAGTAAACAAGCAAATTCTTTTAGTTCCACTTGCAAATATAACCTAGTTATTCAGAAGGTTTATTTATCTTCATGAATTATTAATCATGTGTGATTCCAATGTTACTGGATTAATGTCTAAGAAAATAAAGACTGAATGATTGATACGGTGCGGAACCTTTATCTCAACTGCCTTGTTTCCTGGCAGACGACTTTCTTTGAGACATAGTGTATCCACGTGTGTCTGCTGCTTAAGCTGCAAGTAAGGATTTTCACATTTACTTTTCGGAAGGTTTAAATGAATGATATGTAGTGTCTTAGATCACGTTTGTTTTAATATTTGAATTCGTTTTCACAGAATTATTAGCAGCTTTCATTGTTAATTAAGCAAATAAAACATTAATGTGTTAAGACGTTCGCTTTTACAAAAACAGTAATGCGCCTTATTGAAATATAATAATTGACACATGAGATGTTGACAGGGACAGAGGTTAAAGTTAGCTGTGTGAAGATTTTAACCACAGTCTCCTACTAGGCTGCAGACAGGAGCCTTCTGAATTGCAATACAATCTGGAAGGCCAGAATGTATTTAAAGTAAAATCTCTATTACCAAGAGATTTTAACTTTTTTTATTTTATTGTGTATTTTATTATTTTAAGTAATGTCTCGAAAAAGATATAACCAGTACAAAGTAATCTCTCTTTTCTTTGCGGTTTTTTATAAAATGGTAAAATGAGTTGCAGGTTGGACAAAGCAGATTCGTTTCCACCCAAAAAAAAATATTTCTGTTGCAGGTGGTTAATCCTCGTTAGCTCTATATTTATGTCTTGGGTGAAGCCATGCCGAAGCCCCCGATCTAGAAGGAGTATTTAAATTCTAAAGCCATTCAGTGTGTTTAATAAAATCGGTGCCGCTAGAAATTAAATACTTAATTTTGATTGCAAACTATGTTCCACAGAGATACACTGTCGCATTGTAGTCTTCATTTAAACTGGGATGCGGGATGTGGTACAAAGGCTCTGTTTTTCTAGGTTATAAGACTACAGGCTTGTGGGATCTGTCTGTCTGGCCAGGTATGCCAAAGAAAGGGAAAACGCCAAAGAGGTCTGAGGCGGACGTGCCACCTAAGCGCAGCAAGCCGGACAGTCCTTCCCCTTTCTGCTTCGACAGCCCGGCCAGCCTGTTCCAGAGCCTCATCTCTCCGCTCGGGGTCCAGGAATTTTTCCGGGATCACTGGGAGCGGCGACCCCTGCTTCTGCAGAGGAGCGACCCAGCTCTGGCCGCCCGTTACCCGTCCCTCTTCCGGCTCTCGGACCTGAAGGAGCTCTGCAGCCGGGGCATCGCGTACGGCAGGGACGTCAACGTCTGCCGCGCCGCCGGCGGCAAGAAACAGGTCTTGAACAAAGAGGGCAGGGCCAGCTACAGCCAGCTGAGGAAGGACTTGGAGAAGAAGAAGGCCACGATCCAGTTCCATCAACCCCAGAGGTTTAACGTGAGGAGACGCCGAATTACCTTCACCAGTTCAGTTTGTGGACATTAAAAAGTTGCATAATGCATTAAATATATCTAGTCAGCCTAAAGCGGAGCGGTGGCTCTGTGACTGGAAGGTTGCCGGTTCAAATCCCACTACCGGCAGAGGAATCCTACTAAATTGGGCCCCTGAGCAAGGCCCTTAACCCCAACTGCTCCAGGGGCGCTGTACAATGGCTGACCCTGTGCTCTGACCCCAAGCGTCTCTCCCTGTCTGTGTGTCTCTTGGAGAGCAAGCTGGGGTATGCGAAAGGACAAATTCCTAATGCAAGAAATTGTATATGGCTAATAAAGTGATCTCATCTAAAGGACCTGGGACTGTAGCTGCATATCTCTGCTCTACATACTGTTTAATGTGTGGGATAATTGGTTTTGAAGAAACAATTGACTTTTAGCTAGTGGGTTAGTGTAAAGCCTTTGAAGCATTTGAGATCTGTGTTCTTAGTCTTGGATCTTTTCTGAAGGCTGTTGTTTTTTGTTGTTGTTGTTGTTGTTGTTTGTGTGTCATTCAGGATGAGCTGTGGAGGATTCAGGAGCAGCTGGAGTGCTATTTTGGCTCTCTGGTGGGGTCAAACGTGTACATCACCCCAGAAGCGTCTCAGGGGCTGCCGCCACATTACGATGATGTTGAGGTATGGCTTTGTGGCCGCTGGTGTATTTTAACGGGGGCAGACGTGGGTTTACCCGGCATGTTTGCAAATTGGCTCAAGCTATCCAGGTTGTTGACATAGAATTTGTAAAAATTGCCTCAACCTTCTACCAAAAATTGCAGGCATGCTGTGATAAACTGAAATATGTCAGCGTGACTGTGTGAATTTCTCTATCCCTGTGCAGCGGCTCACAGATCAGACTCATCCTGAGTCACCTGGTTCTCTCTGTAGGTGTTCATTCTGCAGCTGGAAGGAGAGAAGCACTGGCGCCTGTATAAGCCCACAGTGCCCCTGGCCCGTGAGTACAGCCTGGAGGCCGAAGAGCAGATTGGCAGCCCCACACACGAGTTCACACTCAAGGTGAACAGACGAGTAGCTTGATGGATAAAATAAAGGAAGAAATTACCCTCTGCATTTGATAGAAAAGTCTATTTTTTTTTCCACAGAAGTAGAAGGTTTCATTTGAGTTAAGCCAGTCTCTGTTGTGAAGGACATAAATCCCCACACAGGCAGTGTTGAAGAATTGTTTCCAATTGATTGCGTTCTGCACTAAATGAGACCCCAGCTGAATGGTGCATGTGGAACTAAGCATCACAAATCAAGTGCGAGAAAGAAGTTGTTAGTACAGTACTTGTTTCAAAAGTTATTTTGTTGCAGCACCCATTCAGAGTGGACACTGAGCCCTGTGACCCATATTTGTCACATATTTCTCTTGCCTAAGTGGTGGTGCATAATTGGCAGAGAGCACGAGATAACCAGGGTTGTCTCGGGTCTCAGAGAAACAGCAGCTCCTGTCCCCTGCTGGGCTCCTGCAAGTTGGCAGTGAAGTCAGGCACTCTGGAGCTCGCAGTGTGTCAGAAGAGCAATGGCTCTGACAGATGGGCATCTCAGAGGAGCTTGTGTACCGTTTCCTATTTTCCTTGTGCAGCAAATGAGACTTAGCCATAAGCTGAATAAGTCGAATTTTAAACCACTGGCAGTTCGTGTGGGAGTATAATAAACAATTGCCAGTTCAAAATTCATAATTAATTTGCATTTGCTTGGCATTTCTCAATATTCCAATATGTTGCTTGGCATTCCTCGAAGTCTGAAGCCAAGCTAAAACTTGTGTTTTGTCAAAACTTGATAATGGTTTGGCAGAATTCTTCAGCCTCTTTAAAGATGGTGTTTGTTTTTCTCTTCTTCCCAGCCAGGAGATCTCCTGTATTTCCCAAGAGGCACAATTCATCAGGCAGATACCCCTGCTGGAGTTGAATATTCAACCCACATAACCATTAGCACCTACCAGAACATGTATGAACATTTTGTCTCCCTTCTTTGAAGCCTTTTCAGTCGCGTAGAGTTTTTCCAAGTAATGTGTAGAGCCACGTGTGTGATTCCCTGTAAAAAATATGCTATTAAAAATCCAGATTAGGGTTTTAGGTCTTTTGAGGTCCCCCACCACATCCTGAATGAGCCTCTTCACCTTGTCCAGCAATTTGGAAGTGTTAAGTGTCAAAATGATAGTTATTCTTAAGAGGGCCACTAGAGGGTAGCCTTGTCCTAAGACATGGTGCTTCTCAAACTGACCACAGATGCTACAGTACTTAGCTGTATCAAACCAGCAGTGCCAGCTGAAGGAAATGTCCATAAAAAAGGTCAAGTTTTTTTTAAAATACATGTGTTCTGGGTGTATCATTTGCCGTGTGATGGAAAAAGAATTTCTAAAACAGCCTTAATTAAAGATTACATTAAGAATTGGCAGGTTAACCAGACCACAACCTTAAAAAGTTCTTTGCACGTCATGCACACTGTTCGCATCTCACATCATGGTATTGCTCAGTTCTTATTCTTGTGCTTATGTAATACTGCAGTAGAAAGAAAAGGGGAAATGAGTGATTACAGAACTGTGTAAATTACAGCACTTGCCTCTGTCTTCTGATCTTGTCTTTTCTTGAAATCCATTGAATGGGCCATTTTAGTATCACGTGACAACTTAAGACAGTGCATGTCTATCATACAGCAGGCCTCATCTACTGACTTGTTTCTGTCCCAGGTCTTGGGGAGATTTCCTGCTGGATGCGTTTCCTGGCTTCTTGTTTGATGCTATGAGGACCGAGATCCCCATGAGAGCCGGCTTGCCCAGGAAACTACTGATGGTAAGGCAGTCTCCCAGAATGCAACCGGCAATCTGAAAGAAGTCTGCAAAAGTACAGTCCAGTACTGTTCTTCTGAGTGCTGCCTCCTTCAAAATTCGAGCAATGAAAAATAGCTGTCCGAGATTAATGTCATAAAATTTGTAGCATTTTATTTTTTAACCCAAACTGTTTTAAACACCATTTTGATACATCATACCTAAAGTAATGAGCTCTAATGGACCATTAGGTTTTGCGGTGGGCGTTAGTAATTATAGCTCATTCTGCAATTAAGTTGGTGTTTCTGTTCTACTTTTATTATGTAGTTTTGTTATTATAGTTCACTGGGTTTTTTTAAGTCCTCATGCTTTATTTCCCGCTTTTGAATCTGTTAGGAATACCTTAACTCCTGTACTCAGAAATGGTTTGTTTATTTTCATTTATTACCTGTGTTTTCTAACCACGTATGTCTGGTAACCTAAAAAATTCAATAACAAGATAGGTAATGTATAACTCAATAAGTATGAGCAGCCCACATGATGCTTATCCCTTGATTTATGAGTTGTGTTCATCATTAGGTGAATGGGAAGCTTTCTTCATGTATTGCTTTGCTAACAGCATAAAACCCTTTGATACAACGGTGTAGAACACGCATGATTTCATCGTTGTAAAGCTTGCTTTGTCTTGACTTCTTCTCTACCAATAAGAGAACTCGGATCTCTTTGGTTGGGAAAAGAACATCACTCAGCTAGATACAGTAAGAAGTTCTGAATGCCTGTCATATCCTTTGTGTACTTACAATGCAGCGCTGTGCAGCCCAGATGTTATTAGATTTTGAATGGGCTTTACTGTGTTCCATGTTTTGTTGTTGCCGTCACTCATGCAGGATGTAAACTCATCCGATTCCACGGTCAAGCAGTTGGCGGGGTTTGTCCGAAGACTCGCGGACAAGATCGAGGAAGGGCAGGAACTGAGGTCTGCGGACATGAAGAGAGATTTCATCTCCAGCAGGCTGCCCCCTTTTCTGGAGGATGGCTCCGAGGTGATGCCAGGTTGGTTTCGTCTCGGCGTGTAGGCCCTGTACCCCTTGACTGTCAGTACATGTCCGACTGTCCTTCTGGATTGAATTCCTCTCACATTCTCTGGGTGTCGCAGCTGGGAAGATGCCCAAACTGGAGGATACCGTGAGGCTCCGGTTTAAGGACCACATCCTTCTCTCCGTGGAGCCCAGCCGGGAGAGGACAGTAAGTGTGCTGGGGGACAGTGGAGGCGGATGGAGGCCATCGAGTACAGCATGGACTGGCTGAGTAGCTACGTGGGTTTTCTTAACTAATGGGACAGGGTGAAGGGAAAGCAAACCACGACACAGCTATATGAAAGTCATGTGGCATGAAGCCAGGTACTAGAGTTGCCAACGCATGAGATCGCAGGCAAGATTTCGACATTGATTGATGCTAGCAGTGTAAGGGGAGATCCTGCCGTAAGTGATGGCGCCTCGCTCTGATCCGTCCCCGTCCCCCCCCCTGCAGGACGAGTCGACCGAGCTGGTGGTGTTTGTGTTGCATTCCCTGAGGAACAGCAGGGAGACGCACATGATGGGAGAGCAGCAGGACGAGCTGATGGACAGTGAAGCTGCCTGCCAGGTGAGTCCTGACCAGCTGGGAATCTGACCCCCCCCCCCTTTGAGGGAAAGCGAGGGTATGAGAACACACCTGACTCTAGAGCGTTGCCGTGGTCTTTCGTTTCTGCTGTCTTACAGGCAGAGGTCGTTGCAGTTACCATTATGCAAGAAATAAGCAAACCTGTTTTAAACGCACCTCGTCGATTCAAACGTGGTCTGCATAAAACTGAATGTGAATTCGCGGATGAGGAATATGCCTCTGTTCCTTGAAAAGAACTTTACAAAGCCTTTGTCTGCTGAGTTTTAACGTGTTGCCCCTAAGATTCTGATCCAGAAAATTAATTGGAAACCGAAAAGTTTTCAAGAGCTACAAGTTCAAGACTTAGTGGTGCATGTTGAAGTGTTCCTCGTGTTGAGTTCACTGGCTCACCGGCACTGGTTGTCCGTCTGTGTGTTTTCCAGGCTCAGGGCCTGCGTTTCCCCTTGACCCACCTGAAAGCTCTGAGGCAGCTGCTGAACAGCGAGTCAGTCCCCGTCTCCGAGCTCCTGCTGGAGCAGGAGGCCGACAGACGCAGCCTGGCCCTGGCGCTCTGGGCAGAAGGCCTGGTACTTGTGAGCTAACAGAACGCAACAAACTGTACTGTACCGTTTCTGAATGAGAGGCTAATTATGTTCTGAAAATAAAGGCTTAAATGCAGTGTTTCGGCCTATGGAAACTTCTACAGGCTTTGAGATGTCGTAGCCAAGATTTTCTTGTCAGGATTTTTTCCTTCAATCTTTCCATGTTCCTTTAGATGCCTACTTTGTATACAATATGGAAAAACACTATGATGGGTTACTACGGGGACCTACTGTATATTCGGGTATAAAGTTCTCCAACTTAAACTGTCTTATTTTTACATCATGTATTAATTTAAGATAATTCACACACTTTTTAAAAAGGCAGACCACTTCCATTAGAAATGATTAATTTCTAACTTATATATATATAGCACTTTTTCTGGACACTTCACTGAAAGTACTTTACAAGTAATGGGGACTTCCCTCCACACCCACCAGTGTGCAGCTCCTCCTGGATGATGTGATTGCAGCCACAGTGCACCAGTACTCTCCCCACATATCAGCTATCAGTGAGGAGGAGAACAGAGTGACGAAGCCAGTTCAAGGATGGGGATTATTAGGAGGCCATGATTGATAAAAGCCAGGGGGAAATTTGGCCAGAGTAACACCTCTACTCTTTTCAAGAAATACCCTGGGATTTTCCGTGACCATGTACAATGAGGACCACACAGTTTGCAGGGTGAGCACCCCCTGCTGGTCCCACTTACATCTCTACCAGCAGCAACCTTAGCTTTTCCCAGGAGGTCTCCCATCCAGGTACTGACCAGGCTCACACCTGCTAAGCTTCAGTGGGCTGAGTTGCAGAGTAACATAACTGAAGGTTGATCTACCTAGTGGCTCAACATGGTGTCCTGTAATAATGCAAAAGGATAAAATGTCATGAAAACTTTGCAATTAAAATATATATATATATTTAAAACAAATACATGTTTGCATTCTATGTACATATCCTGTAAGGCTATTTTCCACACAACAGCATAATAACACTGATATACAGTTAAGGTGGTTTGTACTAATAACAGTTCTGAGGCACATACATCTGTGGTCACAACAACCGTTTCTCTGGTTGGGTTTCAGCTTGTTGCAAGATTTAGGCAATTCTAAAGAGAGCTTATACAAGGTTTCTCTTACTTAAAAAATGAAGCTCTACATTATATAAAGAACATTACATATTAACAGCTTGTATTACTGTACATGTAATCATTTCAATTATATACAGACATTACACAATTTTGTAATATTCATGTCTATTTCTGAATGCAGTACACTTAATTTTTAATACAGTTTTGAATCCAGTGAACCGACCCTCTTTAGGTTTTTGAATTTTCCCCTAGCAAGCAAAAAAGTTGCTTTGGTTGTTTGACATGGTCTGTTGTTGTTTTCTTTTAATTCTGGGGTCTGACATAGCTTGTAGGAAACATTTTTTTCCTCTCCTCTCATTGACGTAACTCATAAAACTATAAATTGCGACCAGTTTTTAACTCAATACCCCAGAGCCATGTTTGGGGATGCCTGCTAATTCTAGCATTTGAGGTTAAGCACTGGATGCTAAAGTTTTTTATGTGTATGAAAGAGCAGGAACTCATTGAGGGGAAATGCACCCTTTTGCAGTGCAGATTTGCCTTTATATTTGTAATGGAGTTAGGAAGGATCCAAGTAAAATTAGATTAAATTCCCTGCTGTATTATTGGGTACAAAAGCAAGAGTCATGGTAAGATTGTATTACATGGTAAGAATTCAAGCAAGAAATGGTACTGAAGTAGAGACCTAAATATTAAATCACCCCAGTGTGTAATTTTGAATTCTTGTACAAGTGTCCAGTAGATAAAAAAAAATACAACACAAAGTCAGTGAATGTGCTTCTACATGAGAAACTATGCCCTTTTACGATGAGAGGATAGGGCAGGCCTTAAGCCATTTTTGTCTTGATCTCTAATGAGGTTCTATCGTTACATTTTAAGTAATGATTTAAATTATTGCTAAAGCTAAATCATTTATTATATTTGCTCCCAGTTCTCTGTTGGCTCAGTGCTTCAAAGGCATGAATATTTACTGTCTTTGCCCTACTGTATTCATATTAAATATATTTTTTTTTCCATTTCATCCAGTTGAATGAGCAGGCCAGTGCTTTATCACTGTTGGCAACCTGAGATTAAATAGAAATGTTATGTAATGGGATGTTTGAAGCTCCCAGTACATTAACAGACAGACAGACAGCCCTCGCATTGAGTGTCTAGCTTGTTACTTGTGTGCCAGATGAAAGTGTAGTTAACCCTCTTCGGGGCAAAGAGTGAGCTGCGAGTCAGAGTCCTGATCAGGCAACATCACCCTCTTAAAAGCACAAGTCCATTTCCTCTTATCCTTTGCTCTGGACCCCTGAGGCATTCTCTCCAGCTTCCTCTACACTACTTCGATGTCCCAGTACTGCGTAGGGTGATCAGCTGTAAACTCATTGACAACCAGGTGATCCTTATCGTAGCCCTTCCCACCTAAAACAAAGAGGAAGAAAACAAAAACGTAAAGCTAAGTACGAAGTATTGAAGGCCTTTGCAATTTGTGTCGAGTGTACCCTTCTAAACCTGTTGCCCCACTTCAGGTCTCCTCGCTTGTACGCCACTGACTTTTTTTCTGACTGTGGACGGAAAAAGTCCCCGACTTTATGTCCAAAAGAGGAACCCTACCTTAAAAACAGAGTGTAAAAAATGACAAATTTCTAGTCAAATCATTGCAAAAATATTTTGTATTGTATACAAATAATTATATATTATTATTATTATTTTATAACCACATGTGTTTGAGATGTTTAAGTCATTTTTACTTATCTTCCGTGCCCTGGCTTTATGTCCGCTGAACACAAAGACCAGAGAAATGTCGCAAGCAGAGTATGTAGCTCGTTAAGTTACTGTATAGAGTAAAACTCCATATACTTTATCAGACATCCTTATTTACCATACAGTACAGTATTTTGCTGCGTGTTGCAGCCATGTTTGCGTGTACTTTAGGTACGCGACACACTACCACCATCTTGTGCGTGTACAGCACCCTGCTTCTCCCACTGCTGTGTCTTTCAGTCTCGTGTGCGTTTGTTCCCTCTCAAACTTTTATTTTGATTGTTTCAGCGCATCCATTGCAAAAAAACTGCTGAAACACACGGAATCTTATGGAGAAATGTGTCACAGTTAACACCCTAGGGGGAGTATTTATGTTCTCCCGGTCTTTTTTAACCGCTATTTCTATTATTTCTAATAGGGAACGATTCCCTGCTTAACGTCAGTTCTCTTAACGTTCCCTGGGTGACCACCAAGAACATACTGTACCACCTGGACAGTATGTTCTTGGTTTCCTAGCCTCTTGCAATATAAGCTGTATAATATCCAATTACACTTCAGAGGGTAGCATGAAGGGCAGACAGTGGCAGATTTCCATAAAGAATCACTGTTAATTGTAAAGTGAAATAAAAATCTTGCTATACTGACAAGAAGAAAACTGACAAATGTATACTTATACTCAATCTTTTCCAAATGATCAATTCCATGAATTGTGCTCCATTTTAACGCCAAAACCTGTTTTCAATTCATGCTGCATAATGAGCCCTTATTATTTCTTGATGGCTCACAACAACATTCCCTAGGACACTAGCGCTTATTTTTAAGATGCCTCATCTAGCACACCATTATTTGATTAAATGGACCCTAAGTAATATTAATAAGTACCCCAAGTAAGATGAATACTGCACTTAGTGTCAGGGTGTTTTTGTACAAAAAGTAGGTTCTCTTCAGAAAAGATTGAGCTCAACATGATTGTGAGCATTGGAAGGATTTAGCACTGCTTCAAACATTGTGCATTTCAGAGTATTCCCAAGCTGATGCATAACAAGTGAGAGGCTGAAAACAGCTGAGAAACTGGAACAATACAACATAGAAGATAAAAACGCCAGACTTCAAATGATCATTTCCCATCTTCAATATTAGTGCTACTGTGGTTCTGTCTCTGAAAGTTGAAAGCATACAGTGCACCCCAGGGGCTGTACCTCCAGCAGACCACAGCACGTTACCTTTGAGATCCAATACCAGGCATGGCTTGAGACAGAACCTCTATGCAGACAAGTGTAGTTCCTTAAAGGTCTAGCACCAGGCTTGGTATGAGCCAGAACCTCTAACAGAGAGCAACACGTTACCTTTGAGGTCCAGCACCAGACTCGGCTTGAGGTGGGAGGATATCGTCCCGTTCTTGTTGATCCGCCACCTCTGATGAGCTCGGCCATGCTCCGGCCACAGGGCCACGCGACCTCCAGCTGTATCTTTCCCTCCAATCACTGCCAGGCACACCTTGCACGCCTGCCCAGAAACACACAGGCAGGACCTTTGGACTTGTTTCACTTCATGCTTTGATACACTGAATTTTGCTCAAATAAAAATGCATGTTTTTATTTGAAGCCGGCTAATACTAATCTTTCACATTCAATTAATTTATTCATAATTTAACCCCGCCATTGGTACAAAGATACACACTTTTGAAACCATTTCATCCGAGTGCTGTTTATTACAATGATAATGAAGTCTGGGAAAAATTATCCTGTTGGCAATACCAATAACATGAAGCAACTTACTCAACTTAGATTCTAGAAGCAAGAAAAAGCAGTACAAGCTTTTATTATTAGGTATTAATAATTACCTAATTTACTAGATATTAAATGTTGATTATAACAGACGATATATTTAGCAGGTCATCTTAACCATGTCCATTTCCTGTTCATGTACAGTTCATGAGTAATTCATGAACCAAGTTGGATCTGTATTGTCGTGGGAAATGGGGAACCCGTCCCCGTGCCAAAGTGACATCGGGACAAGAACGTTTTCTCTACCTTGCTCTTGAGCAGCCCCTGTCTGAAGCTCCACACCTGACTGTCTGTCCCAGTGGCAGGGCTGAGGGAAACCTTGCTCGGACTGGAGTCTTCCACCAGAGCAGGGCCGGTCAGCAGGGTACCCAGGGAACGGTTCTTCACCCGAATGTAAAGCTTAGGCTGGGAGAACAAAGTGTTTTGCTTGCCTGTGACCAAGCTTGGTACTTGGCAACATTTTCATGTTTACTGCGCACACAATTCTGTAATGAAACGCCAATCCTTTCATCTAAGATTGGGTTGTGTTAGTTTTCTTGTTTTAAGCCGTTTGTGAAAAACATGAGCACTTCATTATTTAACAACACTGTTGTTTATAGACTTTTAAAATTAAACAGCTAAATTAAACAGCTGTAAAGGTTTTGTGCCTTCTGATCACAATATTAATGACTTGCAGTATCTTGAAAGCATGTTGATTTTACAAATGAAAAATAATTAATAGCAAGAGAAACATTTGAATTAACTGAGGAAATAGAATTGACGCACGATGGATTCGATGTAAACAGATCGCTTCCTTTTAGTGTCTTCACAGTGTTCTTTATCTATTACATGAACATTAAGGCTATGCCTTTTTAAATTCATCTTTTATTTGGCTAGGAATGTTGTTGTACTACATGATTAAATTAAGCTTGAATGATTCAAAGAAAACTAAACCCATCAAGCTGGCATAAAAAAAACTGAACCAGCCCAGGTGACACTGACAAAGCTGATTGAATTGGAGACTAAACCCAAGAGGCAGAGGATTTTAGAATGAACCAGTAGGCCGTCTTGCTTGAGTCAGATGGCATTTTGCAGAAAAGGCCATTCTTAATGACTCATGGTCACCGTCAAATTAAAATGCGCAGTTATAAAACGTGTGCATGGTAATACAGAATGTATGTAAAATTGATTTAAGACGATGTGGAAAGTTAAATAAGAGAAACGTTTCTGTAGTCAGAAAATCACACATAGAATCGGAGGTATTATAATATCCTTTTTCATTTCTAATTAGATCGGTAATATAAACTGAAGGAAAACCATGACCAGACTCTCAGCAATACAGTATCCTCAGAGAATGATAGGAAGCTGAGCTCCTGTTCAGTCTTAGGTGATAAAAATCTGAATCACATGCAAAACAGTCCTGTGGTTGGAAACCAAGAGCAGTCTGGTTCATTGTGCTTTGTTTTTTCATGAGTTCATGTTTTATTGACCTTTCTTTCTATCAAAATGATAGGAACGCAAACATGCCTGGAGTCCTGACCAGCATTAAACAAAAACTTCTACAAATGCTTTGTCCGGGCAGAGGACTGGAGAAAACCTGTTAATCTGATAAATACATTGATCTTGTGACAGGCCCACATAAAAGAACTACCTTTTCAGACCCAAGGCAGCAGTCCACACAACAAAATATGAACTGTAGTTGAATGTATGGACTGTTTTTTTTAACCTCTACTTTTAAATCCTTACCATTGTTTCAGTTTAAAATATGATAATGTGTAATGATTTATTATTTTAAAAAATATTTATGATTTTTATCTTTCATTTTTATTTGAATAATATTTTTTGCTCTGCCTGTCCTCAGCAAGGTCCAGTTTGTTATTAAAAAAAAAACTGGAGCAAGAACAGGTCAGACTGAGAGCTAAACAAGGTATTGAAGGTACTCAAATGTACCTATGTGTAACAGAAAATATTATCATGCAAATAAGTAAAGTCCTTCTCAGTTAAGTTTTTTTTTACTATGTCTAATGTGCATAGCTTATTGACCATAGCTTTCTTGTTTTGCATTTCTAAGAGACAAGTCATCTGTTCATGCATTTTCATTTTCATCTTCCCTGGGTTTTGAGCCCCGGTGTAACAGCAGTTCCTGATGACAATGCACGAGCACTGCTCTGCTTACATCACTGTTACTGTTGACAGGGCATCAAAACAGGTTGAACTGACTTAACGGGATATCTCTCAAGTTACTATTAGGTGTTATTAGTGTTTTTGATGCAGATAAAAGAACATAGTTCACATTTCCTTAGATACAGTAACCTGATTATTGCCTAGCTCTTTCTGAAAATAAAAACAATGCATGCTGTTTTAAAAAGAGTTGCCATTTGTTCTGGTTTAAATTTCTGATTGATGTCCTGTTTCATGAACAACCATTATATAGAAAAGGGATTATTGATTTATTTCCTATGCATTTGTGAAAAAAGACAAGGTATCAGTAATGTCTATAAAAAACATGCACAAAAACAGTATTGATTCAGATAGGTAAAAACTGTAGGCAACTTTGGACAAAGCACATTTCAGGATTTGACTGGTCTCCTAATATACTTAATTTATAGATCTTTTTGTTTATAGCTAAACAGTCTAAAGAAATATGAGAATGCTATGATCCAGGTTTTGCTTTGTTTTCCGCACAGAAGTGTCTCTAGTAAACCCCAAAGTAAACTCCAATAGTTTTAGGTTTTCCAGGTGCCGTTTCCTAAATTATTTCATTCTGCTCATGTCAATTCAGTTTGTAGAACATAGGAATTTCTGCAAATTAAGTTCAGTGCCTCAGCATCATGACAAGATAACCCTTCTCTTAATGATATCTAAAAGCTGAAATCTGCAGGCCTAGGAAAGAGATTTGGTGGAGTTTCTACCTGCTTTAGGGGTTGTAGTGAGCCAATGGTGTTCCAGCCACTATAGTCACTCCAGAAGTCAAAGTCTCCGTAGTTCAACAACATCTGTCGTCCCTTAAAGCTAGCATGTTCATACACAATCCACCTAGAGGAAGAAAATGACAGCTGAAGAAATGAATTCCTCCATCCATCTGTTCATCAATGTTAATTGTTAAATTAAACCACAGGGAGGTGAGAATTGCTCACAGTCCACTGTTGACTCTGACAGACTGAGTGAAGAAGTTGTTCATGCTGGACACAGATTTCTCCAGAACCATCTCTTGGCCTTCAAATGAATCCCGAGAAAAGAGACTTATGGAGGCTACTGTAAAAGTCTGAGGAATGGAAAAGAGAAGGAGAGAGTTTGGTCAGTACAGCATACAAAGCAAAATGTGCTCTTAACTGATTTTTGTCTTTGTTTAATTGAAGAAAGTAAAGGAAATCCCTGAGCTGTCCATTACATTTGGCTTTTATAAAGTATATTCTGAATGTAGGGTGGCACAGTGATCAGCACTGCTGCCTCGCAGCACTGGGGCCCTGGGTTCAATTCTGGACCTGGGGTGCTA